GACCTGGGGATCACTCTGACCCCTCAGCAGATTCAGTCTCAAGGGATCACTCTGACCCCTCAGCAGGCCACAGACCTGGGGATCACTCTCACCCCTCAGCAAAGGATCACTCTCACTCCTCAACAGGCCCTGAACCTGGGTATCACCCTGACCCCTCAGCAAGTTTTGGCTCAAGGTATCTCTGTCACACCTCAGCAGGCCAAGGACCTGGGGATCACTCTAAGCCCTCAGCAGGCCCAATATCTGGGGATATCTCTGATGCCTCAGCAGGCTCTGGTTCAAGGGATCACTCTGACCCCTCAGCAAGCCAAAGACGTAGGGATCACTCTGACTCCTCAGCAAGCTCATAACCTGGGGTTCACACTCAGCCCTCAACAGATTCAGGCACGTGGCATCCCTTTGACCTGGCAAAAACTTGCTACATTTGTTCCTTTTGCTCTTAGACCATCTCGAGAATTAAAGGCCTCTTTTTCCACTCAGAAGTCCATTACATCAAGATTATTTCCAAGGGCTAGGCCTAGGCTGCCCCTGACATCATCTGCATCTCCTGCTGAGATCTCTATGACTAGGATTTCTTCTCCTTTGCAAAAATTAACACCTCCTCTCAGTCAAGCCCCCTTTACTCCTGGGAAACATGTAGGAATGAACATTTGTTCTGCTCCTGGAAGGCTCCTGGGCCCACAGATCCTTCCTACCTCCAGACAGATGCTAGTAGTTCAAGGTCAAGCCATTCCTATGGGTTCTGTGCCACAAGAAGTTTCTCCTGCCCCTGAGTATCATCCAATATCTGGGGCCCCTGTCACTACAGAGCAGCCCCTTCAACCAGAGGCCCTTAGCTCTGATCACTTTTTCATGCTGAGGGGTCTTCTGACTCCCTCATCACTTCAGTCTTCCCAGGCCACTCTCACCCTCAGGCCACCTCTTTTATCTAGTGTTCCACCCATCTTTGGACAGATTCCCAGAATCTGGGCGCCTCTCTCTCCTGGGCAGACTTTGGTTCCGGGAGTTTCTTCCATCAGTAGGGAGGAGCTCAGGGAATCTGAACCCTTAGCTTTCTCTGAATGGCCTCAGGGAATCCAGCCTCCTGCCACCCCTGAGAAGCCTCTGCAGACCCCTCCTACCTTCAGGCCACCTCTAGCACCACAAAGCCTTCCTGAGCATGTTTCCCCATTATGGCTCCTTCCCAGCCCTAGGCATCCCTCCACACTGTGGGCCTCCCCAACCTCGGAAAAGCCTCTGAGAGTTTTGCCCTCTTCTGTCACTCAGCAAAGACTAGCAATTGTTTCTTCTATAAAATCTAAGTCAGCAGTGGTTCAGGCAAGGGCTACAGATTTCAAGGTTTCTCAAGCTCCTTTCACCACTAAGAAATTCCAAATATCAAAGACCCCTGAGGCTTATGAAGAAACCCAGATACTCCAAGATACCTGTGTCACGGAACCATCTGAAACACTTCAGTCATTTCTCACCAGTTACAGAGCACCTGTTCCACAAAGCCCTTACACTGATGAGGCAGTCCTTCCCACTTTCATGAAGCCTGTAACACCATTACCTTCTCGTACTACTTGGCTACCAAAGACGCCATATAGTTCACCTTCTGAAGGGGATCAGAAGTCCCAATTCCCTTCTGCAGACCAGCCCTGGATATTGACTTCAGTTTTAGGTATCAAGAAACATGAAATGATGGTGCCCCCTTCCTCTCCTAAAGAGATTGTAGAGAAGAGATATTTTGTTGAAGTGGAGGCTCAGAGGAAGAACTTGATAGTATTAAATGAGGCCACAAAAACTTTTGGACTCCCTTTGCAGCAACAGACAACAGCTAGGAATCTCATAATTGGAACACTTCGTATGGACACAGTCCGGCTGGGATACCTGGTCCGAAAGTACATTGCTTATAAGCTGATCCAACGTGCCAGGTAGATGTAACTATTACATGTTTTTTTCTTTGTATCCTGCATTGCCAAGAAGGCTATTCTATTTGTCAGATCATGTGCTCTAAAACATCCTCTTATGTAAGAACTCCAGGACAGAGCTTATTTAAAATAGCAAAAGGAGAAGCCAGGTACAGTGGCACATAACTATAAATCCCAGCAGTCAAGAGGCTGAGGCAGGAGGAATGCTGCAAGTTTGAGGCCAGTCTGAGCTATACAGTAAGTTTTAGGCCAGTCTGAACTACATAGCAGGACCCTGTCTCAAAAACAAAAAAGATAGCAAAAGGATGATTTTTTAATAAAATAAGATATGATACATACCATGATTGACATCATTCATTTAGATCTCTAGCAGAGATTTTAAGGTATATTTTTGTGGATCATGGTTGATGTCCAAAATATTAACTTCAAAAATTCAGAGATAAATGCCAGTTATTCTTTTTTTTTTTTTTTTTTTTTTGTATTTTAGGGAAGGGTCTACAGGGTGTTCAGGGTCTCGCTACTAGATCAGTCTCATAGTGATCCGCCTGTTTACATCCTTCCAAGAGCTGGGATTACAGGTGAACACCACCATGCCCAGTCTCAGTGGCCATCTCAGAGTTCTCTGGGGGCGGGGCCGGCACAGCAGGCTTGGGGATTGAACTCCTGGCCCCTGCGCCTGCTTGCAGGCTCTTTAACATGCCAGTTATTCTGAATTTCTTTCATCTTCAGTTCACCAGATGTCTGACTTTTTGAATGGCAGAAGTGTGTTTTTTGTTTTTTTTTTGCTCCGAATGCCTTCAAGGCATGACTGGCTGTCTTGTGTTGTGGGGATCAAACCACAGCAACCTGAGCCTGACTGCTTTGTTGAAGCAGCCAGTTAAAGAACTGAGCTAAGGGGCAGGCCCCTGTAAAATGGTAGAAGGGTTTTTTTGTTTTGTTTTTTTTAGGCTCCAAATGCCTTTAGGGTATTCTGGTTTGCGGTGACTGTCTGGGTTGGAACCGCAGAAGCTTGAGCTTGAGGGCTTTGTTTAAGCAGGCACTTAAACAACTGAGCTACTGGGCAGGTCCCCTAACTTTTTGAATGGGAATGGTAGGTTGTATAAGGTGTTGTCACATCAACTTTGTTGCTACCCTTGTTTTTTAAAAATGTACCAAGAGGGGCTGGTGAGATGGCTCAGTGGTCTAAAGCGCCTACTTAGAACAAGCTAAGCTAAGCAAAACACAGGGACCACGGTTCAATCCCCCAGCACCACATGCCAGCCAGCCCTGCCCCCTGGTGGGCTGAACTGGCCACACACAAAATAAATAAAGTAAAAAAAAAAAAAAAGTACCAGGAATGGGGTCAAGGTAAATAACAATTGGCCTGCTATCCTCAACATTTGTATTTGAGGTTAAAAATTCATTATTTAGGAGAAATCTATATTTTTATTTATTTATTTGTTTATTTTTTGCTCTGAATGCCTTCAGGGCAGTTTTGGCTGGCTTGAGTTGTGGGTATCAAACCACAGCAACCTGAGCCTGACTGCTTTGTTGAAGCAGCCACTTAAAGAACTTCAAGCCCCCCTGTATATTTTAAAATACAGGATGCCTAAGTAAAAACATAATAACAGAACAAGTTTTCATTAATTATAGGAATAGCATATAATTAATTTAAGAACCATTTGTTGAATACTTGTAATTTTCTCAACTATTGCTCTAGGTGCTAAGGAATAAAACAAATTTTAAGTCCATGAAATTAATTAATTAATTTATTTAGATAGGGTCTCACTATGTTGTCCAGGCTGCCCTTGTGTTGAGCTCACTGTGCAACCCAGGTTAGTTTTAAACTTGTGAGCCTCCTGCCTCAGCTTCCTGAGTGCTGGAATTATAGGCATGTACTACAATGCCTGGTTGGCAATTTACATTTTTGGAACAAAATTCATTTGGAAGCCAAAGATTGGAACAAAGTATAAGGGGAAGACGTCAAAGTACAAAAGGAAGTACAAAGTACAAAAGCATCACATGTTAGCTACACTCAAAGAATGCAAATAGGAGAGTGAAAGTTTCTCTAATATCCCTCTTTTGACCAACCAGAGTCCTCCCAAGGATTCCACTGGTACTAATGAACGCCCACCCAGAAGTATTTGCTGCATATGTAGAACAGGACATATACTTTTATTCCTCTTTTTATATATTTTAAAGTTTGGGGGCTGGAGAGATGGCTCAGTGGAATAAGCACTTCCCTGGCAAGCACAAGGGCCTGGGTTCAATCCCCAGTTCTGCACACACACAAAAAAAGTTATATGATTTTTATAGCATAACTGAGGTATTAGGCATTAGATAAATTATTAAAGGTATATAAACAATGTACTTGTTTATTGCATAATTACAAAGTGTTTCAAAGTCTAAACTTAACAGTATGTCTTTAATCTATGGTGGCTATTAACATTGCTCAATATCATGCTATGATTAGAGACTTCAGTGAGTACTCTTACATATACATCATGATTTACGATTTCTGAATCAACGACTAAAATGTTTTTGTAATTTTAATATTTGTCAAATTGTTTCCAAAGAAATTGTAATAGTTCGTGTTTTTTTTTTAATTTTAATTTTAATTTTTTGTTTGTTAAGGGAAGGGTTTATAGGGTATTCAGGGTCTCACTGCATGGGTCAGACTTGTAGTGTTGATTAGTATTATGGTCTTTAAAAAAAAAAACTATTCTCTTTTTTGGTACTGGGAATTGAACTCAGGACCTTGCACTTGCTAGACAGTTTCTGTGCCACAGACCTACATCCCCAGTCCTTGATCAGTATTATGAAAGAATCATTCACTCACATTAAAACTAGCACATGGGGCTGGTGAGATGGCTCAGTGGTCTAAAGCACCTACTTAGAACAAGCTCAGCAAAGCACAGGGACCATGGTTCAATCCCCAGCACCACATGCCAGCCAGCCCCGCCCCCTGGTGGGCTGAGCTGCCCCCCCCCATAAATTAAAAAAATAAAATAAAAACAAAACTAGCACAGGTTATTACCAAACTTTTTGTGCACTGCCAATATAACTGAAATACAGCATGTAACA